GAGAGAGAGAGAGAGAGGGAGAGAGAGAGAAAGAGAGAGAGAATAAATACAAAATACTTTTATTCATGTATTTTTGTTCATTTAAAATGTTGCTAATTTTTCAAAAATTCATTACTTTAAATAAAATTTGCTAATACAACAAGAACTGGGAACAGACCAAAAAGTAAATAATACAAAATGGAGAAAGAATACATTAAAATGTTTAAAAATTAAATTAAATTACTGAAACTTTGCCAAAAACCCTTTTCATTTAATCCTATTGGCTTATATTATGACCTAACTAACAATAACAAGCTATTAGTTAACTATGAACTGGCAGTTTTTTAATTACTACACTCTTTATCATTAAAGCTGTATATACTCTACTGTACAGCAAACCAGACAATATGAATCGAGACAACAGCATCTCTGTGCCGTGGGAATACGTATGAACTATTACAATTCTCTGCTTTGAATGGATCCAGACACTTTTCCATCTATTTCAGTTGGGACGATAAGCGTTAATCTTTTGAAGTGGCCTATTACTGTGAATTTTGACGGGTAATAATAGAATGAAGGATACGGTTATTCTAATAATAGTTAAGACAGTTGTTTGGTCCTCCACAGGGTCAAACCTGTAAATATAGCACAACAAATCCTCCTTCAAAAGGAAGCAATCAGGGTGTTTCGTTACACCCCGTCTACACTACTAGTGACTCGACATGACACGACAAACTCCTGTGAAGCTGCTGACGTTGCGCTCTTGCAGTGTAGGCTAAAGCAATAAGCCCCAAGAAGCCGTGGTTTACGGTGAATTTATAACAGCTAAGGGGTGTTGTTAGGCACAATGTCGCTTAGGTTTTATAAAACGGTTATTCCATATGCGTAAAACCAAACTTTGTGGCAATAATTAAGACCAAACTGAACATGGTGTGTGTTTATGGTGCATGTCGGCAATGTTGTCTCGGTGGGGGTGGGGCGTGGTGGAGGTGGGGCTTAGGTAGACAATATTAGGTAGACGATATTTTTAAAGGCGATTATCGATAAGATATTTTTGACATATCGCCCAGCCCTAATCTCTATGGTTGTTTTCAGAATGTAATACTAAATGGAATAATAACATTATTATTTACTGTATACTGTATATTTTTTAAACATTGAATTAGTATGCATTACACAATGGTAAACATTTTAAACTGTAGTATGCTACACTGGTGTCACATGACCTCACGATGTCACATTTTATTCAGCAAGTGGCAAGTTATTTTGAAAATGTGAATAGATGTTAATATAATTTTTTAATATAGAATTTTGTCTTTTGGCAGTTCGATCAGTCCAATTTAACAAATAATAATAATAATAATAATTTAATAAAAAATAAGTTAAAAACAGCTGATATAATCTCTCTCTCTCTCTCTATAGCTGTGTCTCATTTAGAAGGCTGCGTCCTCCGGAGGTCGCATTCGAAGGCTGCATACGTCATCGAGGCTGTCTCATTTCAGAAAAGCAAGTAGGACACTCCGAATGCGACCTCCGAATGCGACCTTCTTTCACAGGAATTCGGAGGATGCATGAGGTGTATCCTTCGCTGCTACAGATAACCCACAATTCTTTGCGTCGCCGTGAACAACCGTTGGTAATTTGAAAAATGCCGGCGCCGGCAGATGTAACGTACACACAAGCGCAGATGTGGTGTTTACAACTTACCTTAATTCGCCTCGGTAAAAACGGATAAACTTTGTTTTTAATATCCTCCTCCTTTTTTTCTCTAATAGATGCTTGCTGTAGGTACGCTGCAGCTCCTCAAATATTGAACACAATAAAACAAGTAAAAGCATTTTTTTTTCAAATTACTTTCCAAATTTAGAAATAATTTTCCTTCATTTAAGTAGTGTGAGAGCGCAACGATGCTCTAAATGTGTTGGCATAGCAACGTGATACTTCCGGTTTCCTTTTCCGCCTGTCCTACGAAGGCCGTCTCGTTTAATTCTAGGTTGAGGACACTTCGTATATGCATCCTACAGAGGACTCGACCTCCGGAGGATTCGACCTCCGGAGGGTGCAGCCTTCTAAATGAGACACAGCTAATGTAGTTCCTCAGAAACAGTTGGGGTTGCAAAAAAGTGGTTGCTGAGCAACACACAAACATAAACAAAGGTGTATGTTAGTAGAATAATTTACAACAGCTTAGAACGTGGCTCAGCCAATCAGAATCAAGGGCCGGAACTATCCGTTTTATAAGAGCGTTTTAGTTCCCGAAAGGTAAGGTCGTTTGACGACTGCTTGGGGAAACTCCTGTTTACTCTATTACTGAAGCCTGATTGGTTAACGTTTGTGTAGCTGCACAAACCAATGGCGCTCGAGCCCGCCAGAAGGGGCGGAGCCGACCGCTATTTAAGTCGGCCATCTCATTAGAATCTTCTCCTTCAGCGATGAGACCATCTCTTCGCTGACTCTGCAATCAAGAAGCCGAAGAGGGAAGAAGCTCAGCCTGCAGCTCGCCGCTGTAGAAGAGCCCCGGCAGCGGAAGAAGCGAGAAGCCTTCCCCTGCGGCTATCCGGCTGGTAAGAGCAATTCCTGAGCAATTTCTCTGCGACATTGTTGCAAATGTTGCACCATGAGTGTGGCTCATGCAGGGAATTCCTTCTCATTCAGCGCGTGCCCAAGCAAACTACCACTGTGATAGTGGACCCACAAGAGCAATTCTCCTCTCCTCACACTGCGAATGCCAGTTCCCCGCCCCCATGTCGTGAACTGCCATTAGTAGGAAAGTAACCACTTGCCGCCTGGATTTTTGCTTGGAAAGCCATCCCCGGCGTGTCAAGCTGGATTCTAAAAACCATGGAACGAGGATACTCGCTCCAGTTCAATCGCAGGCCACCTCGCTTCAGAGGTATTATTCACACTTCGGTAGGGGACAACGCATGTTCTTCGGTCCGAAGTACATACACTGCTTGCAAAGGTGCCGTGGAAACGGTCCCCTTAGCGAACAGCGAGTCAGGTTTTTACAGCCGTTACTTCCTTGTTCCCAAGAAAGATGGTGGGCTCAGACCAATACTCAACCTCAGACATCTGAACTTTTACGAAGTGCGTAGATATGGCTCTTTTCCCTCTGAGACTGATGGGAATCCACTTTTTAAAACTACCTCGACGACTGGCCGAATCAGAACGGGAACTTTTCGCTCACAAGTTGTTGTTGCTCAACCACCTAGAGCGTCTTGGACTGAAAATCAATTCAGCCAGAGTTTTCTGACTCCCAGACAGCGAGTGACTTTCTGGGAACAGTTATAGACTCTGTGAAAATTTGAGCTTGGATTACACCAGAACGCTCCCTGAATATTCAGTGAGTGACGCCGTCATTCAAGCCAGGGTCTGCACGTCCCCTCAGGGCATCCGGGCCCTTCAATATTGGATAAAAGCCCGCGTTCTGTCCACTCGGACAACACGACTGTGGTAGCCTATATCAACCGCCAAGGCGACCTCAGGTCACGTCCCCTTCACAGGATGACTCGACATCTCCTGCATTGGGCACAGAGAGAACTCCTCTCACTACAAGCGGTTCATGTGCCGGGCAGACTAAACCAGGGAGCAGATATGAAGCTCTAGGGGAGTGGAGGCTACATCCCCAGACAGTTCAGATGATTTGGTCAGTTTTCGGCAGGGCAAGAGGTCGACCTCTTCGCCTCCGAAGACAACTATCACTGCCCAACCTATTTTTCAAGACAGCGGGATGCTGTGGCCAACGATTGGCCCAACACCCGTCTGCATGCCTTCCCTCCGATCGCCCTGCTACCCCAGGATGTCAGGTGAGTCAGGGACACAAAGCGCTCTCTCCTCCTCGTGGCCCCTCTCTGGAGGTACCAAGTCTGGTTTCCAGAGATGATCCAGCTGCTATCTGCAGAGCCGTGGTCACTACCACTGAGGAGAGACCTTCTCTTGCAGGTGCAGGGCATGACTTGGCATCCCCAGCCGGAACTGTGGAGCCTTCATGTCTGGCCTTTTAGAGGCTAGAGCTCCGTCTACAAGGCGCCTCTATGCCCTCAAGTGGTCAGTCTTCAGTGACTGGTGTTCAGCACGGAACCAGAATCTGGTATCATGTGATGTGTCCCACATGCTAACCTTTTTGCAGGAGCTGCTGGATAAGGGGTGCACCCCTTCCACGCTCAAAGTCTATGTTGCAGCGATCGTGGTGAATCATTCTCTCGAGGCTGGCCGGACAACTGGCAGGAACGACTTGGTTGTTAAGTTTCTTAGAGGCACTCGCCAGTTAAACCCTCCTCGCCCTAGGACGGTGCCAGCATTATGTACAGAAGGTGCTCTCAACTCCGTTTAGAGCCCAGGTCATTTTCCTTTTAGCCCTCCCTAGAACGGATGGCGAACAAGGTCTAAACTTGTAATGACCCATCTGGGCACTGCAACTTTACATTAAGCGCTCAGAGTCTTTCAGACAATCAGAGCAGCTTTTTGTGTGTATTGGAGGTCGCTCTAAAGGGCTGCCTGTCACAAAGCAAAGACTATCTCATTGGATAGTAGATGCAATAGCTCTGGCTTATGCCTCAGCTGGCTTGCAATGCCCTTTGGGTGCGAGGGCCCATTCCACCAGAGGAATGGCCTCCTTTTGGGCCTGGTCCAGTAGATTCTCTTTTGGGGAGATTTGTGCGGCCGCCGGCTGGTCGTTGCCGTCAACCTTTATTAGATTCTACAATTTGGACGTCCCTGCCCTGCAGGCGCGGGTCTTATCCTCCTAATGCTTACTTTACCCCCACCGGGTGGGGAGAGTTATCTCAAGTAGACCTCAGAACGTTCTCGGGTCTCTTTGTGGCTCAGGCTTATGGAGCCCTCGCTGAATGTTCCTGGGCTGAGCTCGCAGAGCAGGCTAAGTTCTGCATCTGCTTATAGCACGGCGCTACTGGATACGTTCCCCAAGCATTCGTCAAACAATGATGCAACGGGAGTTAACTTTCGATAGGGAACACTCCGGTTACTCACGTAACCTCGGTTCCCTGAGATAAGGGAACAAGCGTTGCGTAACTGGCCATGCTATAGCTGCACACGAATCGATGGCTGTTGCTTCAGTCGTATGATTTTGATGAGATGGTGCTCCGAGCCGACTTATATAGTGGTCGGCTCCGCCCCTTCTGGCGGGCTTGAGCGCCATTGGTTTGTGCAGCTACACAAACATTAACCAATCAGGCTTCAGCAATAGAGTAAACAGGAGTTTCCCCAAGCAGTCGTCAAACGACGATGCAACGCTCGTTCCCTTATCTCAGGGAACCGAGGTTACGTGAGTAACCAGAGTATTTATCATGTTCGCACTTGCAGTTTAGATGGTTGTTTTTCCATCAGTGATGGAAATACTTATCAGACACTAGTACTTTATTTGCTACTAGTCACTATTTCAATACTGATAAGTAACTATTCCATTACTTCTAGCAACACATTTTTGTAACTGAATTCGAAGTATGGACTGGAGTACTATGCAATAGATGTATATACACAGATGCCTCATTAGTGGCAGTTTCTATTGGCTGCTATATGTAAGCTGTCCACCATATTGGAGCCAGTGTTGCCAAGTCTGCGATTTTCTCATGGAATTAGGCTACTTTTATGCTGTTGTTGCTGTTGTTTTTTAGTCTGTGGGAATGTGATTTTGGACCGAACATGATTGCAACATGATTGGGTTAGTTTTGAGCTGTTGCTGGTTTTCTTATGCAGACCTGGCAATCCTGATTGGAGCGGTCAAAGTTAGTCCTTGAACACTCAAGAGTAAATTGACTGTGCATCTGCAACTGTAGGTATATGCATGTATAAACATCTATATCTACAATAGACAAATTTTCTGCTAAACTAACACAATACAAAAAGACAAAGGCATTAGCTAACACAACATTGAAAGGATACCATAGTTTAAAAACCTGTATTATTGAGGTATACATATATAAAAACACAAACCAACACATTCTCACCAGTGAAAGGTTGTCCCATTTCTTTAAGAATTTAAATCTTGGTGTTTTTTTCCAACTAGAGACTGTGCAATGTTGTATGTCATCTTGGAAAACTCACTGATTTTAACTGTGATTGATGACACGTTGACTGTTCCAAGAAGGCAGACACGTCGACATGTCTAGAGTGGTTAAATGTGGCATCTATCTATACATATCTTTGGTACTATGTATGTATACCAGTTATAGACCTTAATTGGTTTAGCATATTGAATTCAACATGGATGAAATTTAGGCTGTGAATGATAAACTTACTGTCCTAACAATGGCACACACTGTATAAAGGTCCCAGATCATGTAATTCTCACAGTTTTCAAACTGTTTTATGGTGTACTTGTCTATTGAAATACATTTAATCAGCTGAACAATGGGTATGTTGTTAAACATTGCAGTCAATTGAACACATTGTACTTCTTTCCTTAGATTTTTTAATATGGTGCTATCCTGACTTAAGTTTATTTTCGTTTTACTAGTAACAATTTATTATGTAATACTTTACATAACTTATTTTACTGGTATCTATTAACTATCTGTCAGTAGTAACGTTTCTTTACATATACATATTGCACTCACTATTAGATTATTTGTCTATTAGTAGGTAAAAACAAAGTAGTAAGCCTACTGTTAACATAAAACTGTTATAGCTTTAAGAAGTAAATGTTAAACCGGCTTGCCAGATATGTCAGGGTTGGACACGTTGCCCTGCTGTCCCTCTGTTGGAAAATTGGGAGAAATGCACGACTCTGCAAGTGTCTCCTACCACACGTTGTTAATAACAATGACTGTGAAACGGGGCCATACGTTGCACAGCTGTGGTCTGTGGTTGCAGATGTCTCTGGATTGATCGAATGCCACACAGGATTGTCTTACTGAACAAAAACAGCCATCGGCTGTTTAATAATGGCGAAACGAGCGTTTGATCTATTGTTTAAAAAAGAATCCCGATAGCTTTAATGGTTATATGCGCATAAGGCTTTACATGAGTCTAAATATAGTAACCTTAAAAGACAGTGAACATATATTATATTTAGGGACCTAACTCTGCGAGGTTGGTGAATGGCTCAGTTTGTTCTGTGAATTTGGAGACATCTGCTGGCGAAGGGTGGAATGAAATGCAGAGCTAATTCTAGGAACGTTTAAACGTCGCTATTTCAACGATAAAAGCTCAACGAAGACTTAATAGATGAGAAGAAGTGCGAATTTAAAAGATGTAATTTTAAACATTCACAAGCACATTGAGTTCCGGAATAAACAGAGCGTCGTGTGTCTGTTTTCCTGTCACGAGTCTGAAGCAAAACCAATTGGATTTGGGCTCTCAGGAAGACTAACCGACGCACGCGACGAAGGGTTGAAGGTTACTTATCCAGCCAATATACACACATGAATACCGAGGTAAGTCTGCTTTTCAAATCCTTTATACGATTACATTTTCTTATCAACCTCCTGCAAAGCGAAAATACAAAACGATTCATATTTACGTAACGTTAATCATTCATGACATTCAGTGAACTTGAGTGTTTTGGGAAGTTTTCTCTGACTATATTGTTCTAATAAACACCTACTCGTTAAGCAGGTGTCGGTTCTGTACTTTGCAAAAAGTGCCGAATTAACGGGACTTAAAGCAGAAAACATCACGGTTCCGTCAAACATATCCTCTCTACAGCTGTGGCAGCATTTGGAGACCAGACATCCAAGGTGAATTATTATTTTAAATGCATTAATAAAAAAGCGCCCAATCAAACAGATGAGATGTTGCCACTCAGTCCACCAATCAGAGACTTCACTAATAATAAAACTTAATAACAGCAATAACAATAATTGTGATAGTTTTTTTTTTTTTTTTTTACATGTAATAAACATTTGACATATTTTGACGTAAAAATACTAATTATAGTAGTAATACTTATTATTAATACATATTTTTATAAAGTTGTTCATTTGAAAGAGAATGTTTATGGCATGTTTATAAACTGTATCTTTCATTTCATTACTAAATATATATATTTAATGTAATAACACTGGGCATTATATTTGCAGTGTAAATATTTCATTCATACTTTGCCCAGATTTGAAGTCTTTATATGTGAAATATATCGCTCTATGCACACTCTAAGCATGTAAATAATGCTTAGAAAAACTAATTATCTACAAATTATTACTTTGTGTTATTTTCCAATGTACAAGAGCAGAGGTGTCCAAACATTTTTAATACGAACGACGAAAAATCAAGCTTGATTGAGGGCCATGGGCCAAAAGTATATTCTATTAAAATGTAATAAATAAATAATTAAATAGATATTTAAATATATATTTTTTTGAATATTTCATATTTTTAAAAATCATATTCATATATTGTTTTTAACATTCAAATGCAAAGATTGCAACAACAACAAAAAAGATAAAATAGTAATAGAAATGAAGATATGCTTTAGTGGGTTTTACCACATTTTTTGTTCTCCTTCCTCTTGTGATATGGAATGATCCATAAATGCTTAAAACCAGGACTCACGGGTCAAATCAAAGGTCTTTGGCCCCTGGGCTCTGGTTTGGGTGTTTCTGGACTAGAGCATCTGTTAATTTTTATTTTAATTTCTATTCATTATATATAGTCATGTTTCATTCGGAAGATGTGTGTCCTGTTCAGCAGACTCTCTGTGTTACGGGATCAGGTGGTTCTGGCCCTGCGTCAGGAGTACGTGCCTCTGGGAGAGCAGCCCTTGACCCTCAGAGACGGGGACGAGGTGGCCGTTATACCGCCCCTTAGTGGAGGCTAAAGAAATTATCAAGGTGGCCATCAAATCCAACACCTGTCTATCTTTGTTACTGTATTTTATTTTTTATGTATATTATAATAAAACATTATAAACACATAACAACATAAGTGTTTCATAGTATACGTTATATTATATAGAAACCTATTTTATATATTAGGGTTTTTTTTGTTCAGGTATGGCTGCAGATGGGGGTCAGGATCTAATTACACTCACTACTGACAAGCTTTCTGCTGATAGTGTTTCTCAATCTGTTACGTGTCCCTCCTGTGGTGCTGTATCTCTGTTTATTGGTCAGTCTTTGTTACGCTGAATTTCAATGGATCATTGCTTCTGTTTAGATTTGGCTTTCTTACAGCTACCTATTAGTTTTATATGTGATCTCCTCTTTCAGGAACCACCAGAGATAATTTTGAGGGGAAGAAAGTGATCCGGCTTGAATATGAAGCGTACAGTCCAATGGCAGAGTCAGAGCTCAGGAAGATCTGCCGTGAGATCCGGACAAAGTGGCCCAGCATCAGACACATTAACATACAGCATAGACTTGGGTGAGTCTCAAAGCTTGTTCAGATAATAGAAGTTAATCACTTTAACATCATTATATCTAAAGGGTATTTTCTGTGTTTTCCCACCGTGTCCACAGTGTGGTTCCTATAACAGAAGCAAGTGTTATAATAGGGATCTCGTCACCGCACAGAAGTGATTCCCTGGAGGCGGTGAAGTACTGCATCAACACACTCAAAGCTACTGTGCCAATCTGGAAAAAGGTCTGTATAACCATATAGAACATGAATAAGGTACAAAAAAAGACCTTTGAAAAGGGGGTGCTTTAAAAAGTTGTCAACCTCGGGAGGTCATATGATGCGATTTCAAGTTTTGCTTTCTCTTTGAAGTGTTACAAGCTGATTGTGCATAGATAAGATCCCTGAAGTTGCAAAGACTAAAGTCTCAAAACCAAAGAGATATTCTTTATCAAAGTTAAGACTCTGCCACGCCCCCCTAAAACGGCTCGTTCTAACACGCCCCCACATATCTACCTCACTATGTGGAAATATTTGCATAATGCCGCCCAAATGTGCACGCAAAGTTTTTTTTTTTTTTTACTGAACCATAATATGGCACATTTTAAAATTGATTTGTTTGATACTATTACTGTCTAGTAATAAGCATTAAATATTAACACTAAAAAGACGTGGATGATACAACTTTACAGAGAATAAATTTTAATATAACAGCAAGTTATTAACAAGTAATTTTTGTTAAACTTACATTTGCATTAAATTATGGGCAATATTTAATTAATCACTTTTCCTGACAAACTTGGTAACAGGGTTGAATGGTCAAGTTGATAAATGCAGTCAACACTACAATTTGTGTAAATAATGATAAAATGGACGAGTTTTGTTTGTCTTCACATAAGTGAACATGAAATGTTACTCTAAGAAAGGTAATCATTAGAATTAGTTAAATAACTGTTTTTAATACAATAATTTTGTCTGCATATTGTCAAAATCATGACTTGTGGTTGTAATTATTGGATATTTGATAAGATCAAAATCTGGGACAGACTACAAAAACAGACATTTCTCATTTAAAACAAGCTATTTTTATGCTAGGTAATTGTATGTAATCAAATAGTTCTGACAGCAAAACAAAAAAAAGTTATTTGTGCCTCTTATACTTTAAGTATAATTATTATCTTTTAAGTTTTTAAGTAAACATAATAAAGTTATAAGACACTAGTCTACCCTGTTTGTGGAACCCTTCCTTTTTTTATAATAACTTGTAACTTGTAATTATTGCAATCAAAGTGTAATAATTTCTCTTCATATATTACATTGCACAATTGTTTGGAACATGCTTGTAATTATTTTGTACTTTTCAGGAAATATACGAGTCTGGGGAGCCGTGCTGGAAAGAGAACAAGGAGTGTTTGTGGGCGGATACTGGGAAAGATCCCAACCAAAGTTGAACTGTTAACTAGCAAATGAGCTACAGTAAATCTCATGAAGCATCAAGAGGTTTTTATTGAAAAAAATACAAAGCTCAAAGTTTTCCTGTAACACCTGATGAAACAAAGATTTTAATCAAAAGAGCATATTCTACTCTTCTCTTGAATAGAAAGTCTTAAAAAAGTACCAGTGCAAAAACATTATGTAAACATTAAGGGAAATCGTTGTCATTTATGTTGCCTTCGATTAGTCTAGCCTCAAAGATTTCCTAAAAACGCCACATAACAGCATCAGTAGAAGTTATACCCTGAATTCATGTAGCAATTTACTGACAACACTTTCATATACATGCAAATATGTTTGACATTTCAGAAGATTTGACTACATCATATAATGCTTAGATCATTTGTTAATGCAGTCAAATAGTTTGAAATGTCATACATTCGCGGATAACATTATGCTGTATTTTATGTTTATAAATGGCAAGTTAGTAATAAGAAACAATGCAGACAACACTTTAAAAATCTTGCATTATTACATCATTTGTTAATGTAAGATTTAATGTTAAGTTTTTAAAGTGTTTTTACTTTACTAACTTGATTCATTTGTGCAAGTAGTCACAATCATTTATTTTCTCATTCAGTGTTAGTCCATTTCCCTGATGTGTTGCATACAGGGGCACTGCTTACTACTGGAGTTATTTGCTCATGTTTACATAGTATGGACAACAGTGGCAGCGGTAGAATTCACAAAAAAACCTGCTTACCAGTGTTTTGCTGCTTTGGGCATAAAACATTTTTGAGGTTGCAATTTGGTATTGCTGAAATGGTCTCACTACAATTTTGTGAAGGCTTATTTTCACTGATACTGTATAATTTGGAACATATGCCTGGTATGCTTTAGAATTTTGGGGAATTTTAGTACTCCAGTATATAAAATAAATGATCAAATTTGTTCAATTAAGTTAGTCAATGACTCAAAGGTCATTTTACTCATATGCCACAAATTATCTCTTTAGGCCTAGTATGTTAGGGTATGCATACCTCTAAAATCTTTGGTATGGTGTGTGACCCTATATGCACATTCAGCCCAATTTTTCTTAACCATTTGTGCAATGTAGATATGGGGAGTCAACACCAAAAAGCTGATTCCTTGACTCTGAATAGCCATAGTCTTGGGGTCAACTCTAGCACAGGAATCGACTCGTTGTTGACTCCATTGCTGTGTCTGAAATTCCTCACTCATTCACTAGTCCCTATATAGTGCTCGCCAGTTGAGTGCACTATATCGCCAAGGAGTGAACCAAATAAAGCCAGGAAATCGGACACTGACTTCACTGGGTTGACATAGAAACAACTGTCACAATGCCCTCACCTGGCCATTATATTAATCCGAAGAATATGTTTTCTCTCATTCATTTAACTCTGACATGGCTGTTGTATGTATTGGCAACAACTAAAAAATGGTGATACTCATAATTTCAAAGTAATGTCATCTCTAAATTGGAATTATTAGCCATGGTTAAAGTGTATTTTAATGTTTAAAGTTTTTGTCACCAAAAAAATAAAAATAATTTAGTGTGTAATATAAAGACTGCTATATTGTAAAGGTCCTTGCACACCGAGTTCGAAATTTTCGTATGCGTTGTTTTCTGGGGTTTTTTTCATATTCGTCATCCTTTCCCATCAATATGCTTCCTACGGATGTGAAAACACAGAAAAACAAACCTGGTCCTAATTTTTTTTTATGACGGACGAAAGTTTCGTAGGCAGTGTGTAAACATGATTGACACAACGTGAGGTCGTATCTATTTTTTAACGTGTGAAAATTTCGGACTCGGTGTGCAAAGACCTTGTCTCTTCTTATTGCTGACCCTGCAAGTAACAGCGAGTCGATAGGGAGTCGACTCTGGAAGAACCTGCAATCGAACAGGGTTAAGGCTAGAAGGGATACAGCTGTGGCTACTGGGCATGCACACATCAATATAGCATCATTTTTGTCACACTGTACAACAATAATTACTATTTTTGCATTATTGTAAGGGGTAGGTTAGGGGTAACTAGTTGCTCCACAAGGTGGCACACAGTCCCAGGCCGTTGTTTCTCAATCAGAAAAGGAACAGAGGAGACCGAACTAGAACAATAAACTAATAAAGATGGCAACAACAACAGACGCCCGTATTGACAAGTGCTTCTGTGGTGGATGGAGACCTGCAACTTTAGTTTAAATGAGTACAAAGACTCTCATCACTCATAACTTCTGAAGAGAAATAGCGCAGACACTGGACAAGGGTGACTCTAATGTGCATGTGTCCAGCGCCTGTGCACACTATCAAATGGAGGATACTTTGAAAAGCTACACACAAAGAGAAGTATACTTTGGGCATGAGTCAATAGTAAAAAATATCTAGCTAAATACTAACTACTCAGAAAATGACTGGAAGTGGTAAGACTGCCAAAAAGATACACCAGCATTCGAGTCAAGCAGGGGAAAAGACATATGAAAGATGAATGGGTTTTGAATGCCAATATTTGACTTGCCGCGCTGAAATCAAATTGGCAATTTTTAAAAACACAGTTTGCTCTTTCTAGCCCTTTTCTGGCTATTAGTGTCAGGGAAGAAAGCAGTGATATTGCCAAATGAGTCTCGGCAGAATTCTTAGGGTGTCTCGCTGTTTTCCTGCAGTTCCTGATTTTCCGCTCCATTCTCCTCCCTGTTTATCATCGGCTGATACTTCCTCTTGAAGAATCCAAGCTGAACGCCAAAAATACATGGATTTTTAAAGAAGACAATGACAAGATGTAGACCAAATAAACATTGAAACGGCAAAACAAAGTACCTTCCAAAGCAATGCGACGGCAAGAGCCAATAACAGCAGACCCCCGATAACACTTCCTATAATGGCACCCACTGGAACGTCCCCTTTAGCTCCAGGTTTGCTCACTTTGACTTCAACCTGCAGTCAAGAGTCGAATTGTAAATTTAGCCTACATTGGGTAATGACTGCTGATCCCATACAGCAATTTTTATTTTCTGGCCAAAAGATATTTTAAATGTATGCAAAATATATGCTGTTAACAGTGGAACTCAATGAAATATATTTTTGAAATTGAAAATATATGTAGTTTTAAATTTCACATACCAAAATATATTTCAAAGAGTATTTCAGGCCAAGAAAATAGATTTCCAATCTTACAGTAAAGGCTAAATGCAAATGTAGATGGAATAGCCTATTAGAGATCAAAACTAGATTTATAATGATTTAATTATATTCAATTTTATATATACAGTATATATATATATATATATATATATATATATTGGAATTTTATATATGTTCCTTGCTGATTTCTATTCAAATGTGTTATGTTCACGTGTTGGACATCAAATATTTTCTTTAATAGTGACATGCATTTTCTTGGAATGAAATATATGAAAGGGAAAAAATTTAATTTTATATAAAAAACATTTTCCCCTCCCCAAAAATATATTGGCAAAAAATATATTTACATAAATACATTTTGCAACATGTTAAGACACACAGATGCATATATATATATATATATATATACACCTTTTTTTTTTTTTTACATATTTGAGGCAAAAAAATAATTTCCAAATGATTGATCCGGCTTGATTTGACTGTACCTGCAGGTGTTTCTGTTTGATGAACAGCAGCTCCGGTTGAGACGTCTCTATATCAGCTCTCACAGAGAGCACGGTGTACAGAAAATCAGCCTGTAATAAACAAACACTGTTAACCCCAATATTAGCCCAGACCGATACAAGAAAAGCACTGAGATGAGTTTATTTACCATTGCAAAGGTACCATTCCATATGTTTGTCGTTACATTCACATAATAATCACTCTTCTCCTGTAGGCCCTTCAGGACGCATTGCAGTAAGCGGCATTTGGCCGTTTTGCAGTTCTGTGGATGGTGAACAGATGATCAGTACGGATGGAAATGAAGACATCCTGTTATTTTGTAATCGGAGACAGGATTAGTCATCATGCAAATCAACTCCACCTAGATCAAATTAAAAACATTATTACACAAATAATTATTACTGGGTTTCATACTTCATTCATTAGTACTTCCTTTGTGTGTCACGATCAGTAACAAAAGCCAATGTTTTTGGCAGTCTTGGATTTCAAGAATTTTTTAGATGAAGATCCACAAGCACTGACCAGTTCATCTGTTCCTCTAAAACTCTCCTCTTTGAATCGGACCATATAAGGTTTCTCGCTGATCTTAAACGGGTCGATCAGTTGACTGTCTGCACAATGGATTTTTTCAGCCTGGAAATATCATGTCAAATCATTTCCACATTCACAGACAATGCGTTCGCTCATGTTTATGATGGATTGTGTGTGTAAATGTGAGGTTATGGATCCTCACAGGTGAGGTTTTAATGCTGGTCGTGTAGAGGAGAGGATTTCCTGCTTTGGTGCTGTTGGGCAAAGAGACAGTGAGGTAAACCAGGCTGACTGGGACCACTCCTGTAGAAACCTGGAGAAATAAATACACTCACATCACCATCAACTTCATTTTCAAAGCAAACCAACAGATGGTGGTAGAGAACAGCCTGAAGGATTCATCCGTTACATGAACTCACCTTTAAATTAAAGTTCAAATCTGGGCCGATGTCCTTGAATTTCCTCACTGTGGTTGTGAAACTGTTCTCTTTTTCAAGCAAGTAAACATCGATGTTTGATTCTCTGAAGAAATTAAAATAAAACAAAGACATTAAGAGAGGACTTTTAGTGAAACATTCTGATGGGTTAAAAGGTTTTGTTTAATAATTGGATATCAAGTAGAAACACTGTTGGGGAAAGTTACTAAAATAACCACCATAAAAAAGTAACTAATTGTGTTACTTAGCTACTTTTTATGGAAAGTAATGTATTACATTGTTTTTGCCCAGCTCAGGTGACAGAAAATAATGCAAAAATCTAAACCAGGCTGACTGGGACCACTCCTGTAGAAACCTGGAGAAATAAATACACTCACATCACCATCAACTTCATTTTCAAAGCAAACCAACAGATGGTGGTAGAGAACAGCCTGAAGGATTCATCCGTTACATGAACTCACCTTTAAATTAAAGTTCAAATCTGGGCCGATGTCCTTGAATTTCCTCACTGTGGTTGTGAAACTGTTCTCTTTTTCAAGCAAGTAAACATCGATGTTTGATTCTCTGAAGAAATTAAAATAAAACAAAGACATTAAGAGAGGACTTTTAGTGAAACATTCTGATGGGTTAAAAGGTTTTGTTTAATAATTGGATATCAAGTAGAAACACTGTTGGGGAAAGTTACTAAAATAACCACCATAAAAAAAGTAACTAATTGTGTTACTTAGCTACTTTTTATGGAAAGTAATGTATTACATTGTTTTTGCCCAGCTCAGGTGACAGAAAATAATGCAAAAATCTAGCGTAGCATTAGTTCTGGCAGGTCACGTTAGTCAAGCTCGCATCAGCTGACTCTCAGCTGATCCCCATCAACCTATGGGAATACAACACCTATCTTAAGTATTCATATTTAAGGTCCCGCAGTAGTATCAGCAGTTTTTGCATTGCTCAATAGCTAATTACCCGCCTCCATCCCCAGCTCCTCCTCTGTCAATAAGGATTCAGCCTTCTGATTCTCCTTTGAATCAGACTAATTCTAAAATGTGTGCATAACATTATTGAACTTTAACGATATCTGCAATACATTTATGTTGGTTCTGTTCTGTTTACCCTTGGGGGGGGGGGGTTATCGCGGCTCTCCCTGCTCTCATCCATGCTAGGCTGCATGGATGTGCAGGGAGTTCTTGCCCAGAACGGAACCATACCACCAATCCAAACTGTATGCTAATTGTCAATCATCTTTGACGATAGTGGTCCTGACAGAAGTAAAGTAACGTGCATTATTTATTTGAAAAAGTAACTCTGATATTTTTTTGGAAATTTAAAGTAATGCATTCCTTTTCTAGTTACTTGAAAAAAGTTATCTGATTACGTAACTCGCGTTACTTGTTATGCTACCTCCAACACTAAGCAGAAATGCTACAACTACTCAGACACGCACATATATTTAAAAAGTGGTTTTTAAAGTGATGTATAATAAACAATTTCGGATATAATGTTCATATTAATTCCAAAGTTACTTAGGAATATTTTTTTACAAGTTTTCGCAAGCAATGTTCCCATACTTCCCACATTTTCTAACAATTAATAACCCAAATAATTGTGAGGTCAGTGATATATTTTTGTTTATATATATATTTTTTATAGTTTTTGAAAGAAGTCTCTTATGCTCACCAAGGCTGCATTTATTTGATCAAAAATACAGTAAAAACAGCCATATTGTGAAATCTTACCTTTTAAAATAACTGCTTTCTATGTGAATTTATGATACCATTTAATTTATTCCTCTCAGGCAAAGCTGAATTTTCTGCATCATTACTCCAGATCACATGATCCTTCATCAATCTAATATACTGATTCGCTACTCAAGAAACTTTTTCCCTGATTTTTTATTATCAATGTTGAAAACATTTCAACATTATATGCTTAATATATTTGCTGAATTTTTTTCAGGATTCTTTGATAAATAGAAAGTTCAAAAACAGCATTTATTTAAAATAGATATTTATTAAAACATTACAAATATCAATTTAACGCATCCTTGTTGAACAACAATAACAACAACAAAAGTATTAGTCTAAATGAACCCAAACTTTTTAGCAGAACAAATAGATGTCAGAATGCAGTAACAGACCAATCATACAGAAATATTGGGGAGAGGTGTTTCATGTCTGACCTGCTGAGGATGATCTCAGAGTTGTATTGGACAGGAATGGAGACAGAGATCTTATTATCAGCGGGAGTTTCCTCTGTGCTGTCACTGCAGTGCAAATGAACCAATGAAACTGTGATTAACACGTGACTAAACCTGTGAATCACTGGCACCTGCTGCTTAATAATATTTTCATTCTTGGAGGACTGTCAGATTTTTTGCAATTCTCTAAATAGCTTTTAGCATATGCACAGCGATAAAATGAAACTATAAAAAGTCATTGTTAAAAAAAAATGTAATTGTGTAAAACAGTTTACCTTAAAGCCTCAAAGACAACATTGACATCTTTTTGAAGCTGATTCAAGTTAAAGTCAAAGTTGACCACAAATGTAACCTGTGGAAAACATACAAAACCATTACAATCACATCAGTCAGATATGAACATTAATGCTCAGAGATGTCTGCCTCACCGATTGGTCCGTCCTCAGCGCTGGATAACTCACTTGGCAGATGAGTGTGTCTGATTCTTTCATCAGAGTGCACTTCACCTCTGCTCCCTCAGTCTGCAATATCAGATTGAATAATAACACAAGAATTTGTGTGAGCCATGTAAGCAAAATATGCATATTATATTGCACTTAAATTTTGGTTAGACTATTGTATATGCTAGAGTTTGGCGAGCCATAGCCTCCTGCCCAGTTTTGTACAGCTGATTTTAAGTGCAATGTAAGTGATGAATAATTTGCATTGCCTGTGGTGTAACAGAAGCGTAGAACAGGTTACTGGAGTAGCTGGCTGACACTCGTGCATTGTATGCATTCTCCTTCCTGTTCATCACGATCACAGTGAAGGAGAGTCTTCTCTTGTTCTGGCTCACCACAAGTGAAGTTTTGCTAGAAATAATAAAAAACACTTATATACCAATTATACATACTTGTATTTTTACACAAGAGATTGGATAAATGGATGCGTTGCCAAAATGTTTTGCGAATTAAATATGGCGCTAGTTAATTAGAGACCAAATGCACATCAAATTTCACATTTCCTAATAAGAGATGGTTCATTATTATTTTGTCCTGTTTTAAGGTCCTTGCACACTGAGTTCTCGTGAGTTTTCACATGCGTTTTTTTGATTTGTTCATATTCGTCAACCTTTCAATGCTTGCTACGGATGCGAAAACGCAGAAAATCGAACCTGATCAAAATTTTTTTATGACGGAGGAAAGTTTCGGAGGCGGTGTGTAAATGTGATTAACACAACGTAAGGTCGTATTTAATTTTTAACGTGCGAAAATTTCGGATGAGAATTGCGGACTCAGTGTGCAATGACCTTCAGTCATATGCTTGAGGAAATCTTACCCAAGTGTCTCTTCACTCTGTGCAGTCAGTACCAAGTCACTGAAGCAAACGTCATCTTCGCCACAGTCCTTTGAGAACGGGATCTGGACCAAACCAAACCAAACCCACAATGAGGATTTAGGAACAGTTTCTGGACATTATTCTGCATTCTCCAATTTTAAGTCAGGGTTTTTAAACTGGTGTCCAGGGCAGTCCATGGAAAATTTGAGAGACTAAAAAAGTATTTTAATAGTAAGAAATATTAGATACATATCTATAGTTTTGTTAAAAATATATATTTTCTAGAACATTGTTCATCTGTCCTTGGGATGTATGTACTGAATGAATTTGTGTTATATAATTTTTTTTTTCTAGAGAGTTTTTTGTTGTCTGTTTATCCTGCTCACTAGTTGTACGGCACTATTTTCTTAAAAAATTGCTTTAGAATAATATTTTTATTAAATTGCTATGCAAATAAATTTGAACTTGAACTTAAATAGTTTATTTTATATGCAATTAATGGGATATCATTAACATAATCAAAATATGCATTAAAAATAAGCATTATAAAAAATAAAAAATAAAATAAAAAAAATATATATATATATGTGTGTGTGTGTGTAGATATAGATATATAATTTATTTAAACTTTAATAATATTTATATATATATTTATTTTGCAAACAATGCATTTATTATTATAACACTATTTTTCCTCACATAGCATACTATAAATGGGTCTGTATAGCTGTCTTTATATGTTAGAAAGCGGGTTGCTCATAAAGGGGATCATCATATTTGGCCATCATAGTTTGAAAGTTCCTGACATACAGTGGGGAAAAAAAGTTAGTCAGCCACCAATTGTGCAAGTTCTCCCACTTAAAAAGATGAGAGAGGCCTGTAATTTTCATCATAGGTATACCTCAACTATTTACCAATTAATTCTTTAAAAATCCTACAATGTGATTTTCTGGATTTTTTTTCTCATTTTGTCTCTCATAGTTGAGGTATACCTATGATGAAAATTACAGGCCTCTCTCATCTTTTTAAGTGGGAGAACTTGCACAATTGGTGGCTGACTAAATACTTTTTTGCCCCATTGTAGCTGATATAATGGTTTAGATTAATTGTCTTTTTTCTTAACACGTGTCCTTCACAGTAAACCACAGGCACTTAAAACTCAGAAATTTGCTTCTTGCAACACTCACAAAAAATTCCCACGCATTAGGACTGAAGACGTCCAGAACGGGGTTGGCATCTGGATGGCTGAGGACCACATCCACACGCAAAGCAATTGAGTTGACGAGGTCAGGGGTCTCCTGCACATAGACGTCATGCTCTTCACATACGTTCTGCGCAGAGACGCTGATGTCTTTCTGGACAACTCGATCCAAGTTGCTGAAGTGACCTCTAGGACTGACCCGGGACGACTGCAGGTCGGCATCCAGGGTCAAGTTGTACTTGATATCTGTTTTTATAAAAGAAAATTCAAATGCATCACTTCTTCAAACCAAATGTGTCCATCTCCTAAAAAAAATACGGCCCAGATCAGAATCGGTATCCTTACCCGCTGGCCCAAGTGGATTCGCTGGTTTAAATGTTGCACTAAAACACACTTTAGCCTTGAAGCAGGACACCTGCCTCCCACTATAGCGGCACGGTTTACTCAGGATACTGATCTTGTCAGGGGTGAAGGAAACCTTGGCCGTGACCACTGCAACTCCTCTACTCCTAAAACCATATGATGCGAGAGGTCAAGAATGCATCAATTAAAACGCAACCCTTCAAGTGATTTATGGCTTTTGGAACAAACAGAAGAGTCCCACAGAAAGCTGATGCTTAGAGGATTGCTGAAGTGAAAAATGGGATTCCAGAGGACAGCTGGAGCGATCATTTCCCTGGCCACAAACACATCTACATATCCCACCATGACTGAGGCCATCCCTGCAGCTGTTCTGCACTTAACTCAGTTGTTGAAGGTGGGCCGTTAATGAAGTTATGTTACATGGGACGGTCTAATCGAGCTGTTTTACACCCCCACAAAGTATGAAAATCAATTGGTGAAATGAAGGTTGATGTGTTTAAATTCTCACCAGAGTTGGACCACTTTCCCAAAAGCCCCCACCGCCACATCTGGGATGAAGTCTCCGTTCATATCTCCTCTGCCGTCTAGAGAGCGGCCGAAGAACTTCAACGCTGGGTCCAGTTTCGTTCCGACAATTTTCTGAATGCGTAAGAATATTCTGAATTTGGACACTTGCTGATATATTTAATGTGTGTTGAGGACTCGGTGAAGTTCGGTTCTACCTGTGAGCTCTGCTTTCTGATGGTTTTTCTGTCTCCATAGTAGATGTAAATGGCACCTTGGCCATTGCCTTCCAGCGGAGCGCCAACCACAACGTCGCTGAAGCCATCTAGGTTTAGATCGGGGACGGCAGTGATGGCCGTCCCAAACCGAGCATTCTTTTGAGAACCCTCCAAGAAACCCTGGTTACTCAAGATACCCTGTTAAAAAATTAAATAAATTAAAAAATAAAAACAGATACAGTATGTTAGTACTACTAACATACAGACATTAAACGGTTTATTAAATGCATTTGTAGCATCAACATGTTATATATTGCAAGCACAACTTTACCGTAGACTACATACTCTTTTATTTATGTTATTTTAAATTAACCAGTTAAAAATAATTGAGTAAAAAACCTTGAGTTAAAACTGTTGAGTATCCGTATAGACACTTATGTGGCATTTTTTGTTGTGATATACAAAATAATAATATAATATTTATTACAATCATTCTTTAAAACAATACTAATTATCATTCAAAAGACTGGGGTCAGTAAGGTTTTTTTTTTTAATAAATTCATTTCTTTTGAATTTTATTCAGCAGGGACACATAAAATTGTTCAAAAGTGACAGTAAAGATATTTTTTTATGTTGCAAAAGATTTCTATTTCAAATCAATTCTGTTCTTTTGAACTTTCTATTTATCAAGGAATCCTGAAAAAATATATATAATGAAATATATGGCCATATTCTACATCCCTAATCCTACTCAATACCTAAACTTAACATCTACCTTACAAAATATTAATAAGCAACAAATTAGGACTTTATTGAGGCAAAAGTCATAGTTAATGGTTTGTTGATGACGAAAATTGGATCTAAAAACAAATGTGACCAAAAAAAAATTTCTTAAGCAGCAAATCAGCATATTAGAACGATTTCTGAAGGGTCATGTGACACTGAAGACTGGCGTAATGATGCTGAAAATTCAGCTTTGCATCACAGGAAAAAAATACATTTTAAAATATATTACAATAGAAAACAGTTATTTTAAATTGTAATAATATTTCACAATATTACTGTTTTTACTGTATTTTTGATCAAATAACTGCAGCCTTAGTGAGCATAAGTCAAAAACATTAAAATATTGTACCAACCCCATACCCCACACTGAATTTGGAGGTATTTAGTAAATATATATCTCCTCCTGGTAATGGTGGCAGACAAAAATCACCTAGGAGAAAATTAACAGCAGTACAGAGTATGAAAAGACAATGCAGATCAGATTCCCAGTGAAATGCTCTCCGACAGCAAATGCAATGAGTTGCTTCCTTCAAGTTATGCAGAGGTCAGATGGATTCGACCGCAATTTCAAAAAGAAGTTACTATGTCTGTTTTTGAAGCAATTGGTAGCAAAAATTTGGAAGAAATAGTACAGCACCTTAAATCGTCAGCCTGCTATCTTTACACACTTCCCACATCTTTTTTCAAAAGTGTGCTTAACTGTTTAGAAGCAGATCTCTTAGCAGTGGTGAACGCCTCACTTCTTTTTGGGACTTTTCCAAACTCCCTGAAAACTGCAGTTGTTAAGCCCCTTCTGAAAAAGTGCAATCTTGATAACACCGACCATATTGAGCAAATATAGACCAATATTAAATCTTCCTTTTATAGACAAGATTATTGAAAAGGTAGTTTTTAATCAGCTGAACAACTACTTAAACTCAAATAGATACCTGGACAATTTTCAATTTGGTTTCCGACTGCATCACAGCACAGAGACAGCAGTCATTAAGATAATTAATGATATTCACTTAAATTCTGATTCTGGCAAAATATTCTGATTCTGGCTGGTACTATTAGATCTTAGTGCTGAGTTTGACACTGTTGATCATAACATACTTCTAGAGCGACTGGAAAACTGGGATGGTACTCAAATGGTTCAGATCATACTTAGAAGGGAGAGGTTATTATATGAGTATAGGAGAGCATACAGGTGCATCTCAATAAATTAGAATGTCGTGGAAAAGTTAATTTATTTCAGTAATTCAAATCTAATTGTGAAACTCATGTATTAAATAAATTCAATGCACACAGACTGAAGTAGTTTAAGTCTTTGGTTCTTTTAATTGTGATGGTTTTGGCTCACATTTAACAAAAACCCACCAATTCACTATCTCAACAAATTAGAATATGGTGACATGCCAATCAGCTAATCAACTCAAAACACCTGCAAAGGTTTCCTGAGCCTTCAAAATGGTCTCTCAGTTTGGTTCACTAGGCTACACAATCATGGGGAAGACTGCTGATCTGACAGTTGTCCAGAAGACAATCATTTACACCCTTCACAAGGAGGGTAAGTCACAAACATTCATTGCCAAAGAAGCTGGCTGTTCACAGAGTGCTGTATCCAAGCATGTTAACAGAAAGTTGAGTGGAAGGAAAAAGTGTGGAAGAAAAAGATGCACAACCAACCGAGAGAACCGCAGCCTTATGAGGATTGTCAAGCAAAATCGATTCAAGAATTTGAGTGAACTTCACAAGGAATGGACTGAGGCTGGGGTCAAGGCATCAAGAGCCACCACACACAGACGTGTCAAGAAATTCGGCTACAGTTGTCGTATTCCTCTTGTTAAGACACTCCTGAACCACAGAC